AGTAAGACCTAGCTAAAGGTTTATTAGCTGTGATTTCCCCAAACAACACATGCACACTATGTGACTGACTACTTGCTACTGTCTGAGTAAAGTCATAGTTTGGGTTACAACATGATATAAATCAGTATATGTTCCTCTTTATCTAACAAGCTCGTCAAAGATATAGACAAATATGTTGGCTGATAACAAAATGCAGAACAGTACCAACTACAAGTTTGAGAAAACTTATATTTTTACAGCAACACAGTTTGCACGCTAAAGAGCACTGACAACTTGTTTCTTAATCGTAAGATTTTCTGCTCAGTAATATAGATTTTGATTTCAGATTTCCTTATCAACCATGTTTGTGCTTTCATAATATTGTATTTGGTCATGTTTTATCTCATTTTAATTTGGATAATGTACATCACAGCTGTACTCGAAATGGGCTTATTTACTTTCTTGCCTTCATAAAAATGTTTAGGGTTTTTTTTGCAGCTATAATCATTTATAAGGTTTGTACTTTTATCATCTGACTGACTATTCAGGTAATTTGCATGTTTCGCTTTCGGTTAATGCTTCAGAGTAACTTATAAGTGTCACAGAGTTTATCCCATGCAAAAGAGATTGACCCAGCATATGAAAACCCACTGCGCAGAGAAACCACACATGTGTGAACTGTGTTACCTGAAAGCGAAACATGCAAATGATTTGCTTCAATGTAGTTCTCAGGGATCCTCTTTGACCAACACAAGTTCCATTTGTGGGCATTGGTAACTGAACTGTCAATGTTAAAACTTACTGCCCTGCCAGCACTTACCTGCAGAGTAGCACCACCACGGAATCAGCTTTGGCCGGGATGAAGCCCAGCAGGAAGACATTTCGACAGCCACAGTTGTAACACTCCAGCACCGTCTCCCCCAGTGGCCCATCTTTATGCAGAGTCACCTCTTTGCATTTGGCTCTCACCAAGTGGTTCACAATGTGGCTGGAAGTAAGAAAAACAGGAGTCAGATGATTAAGAAAAGAAAAGGAAAAAAATCACACAATCAATGACACTTGTTGTGGCAGCACTGCAGCAGAAATCAATTGACAGTTTATGTTGTGTGTTGACTTACAGTACAAAGACAGGACAGACACCAGAGACCATTTTACAGCTTTAAACAAATGAGTTAGTGTATCGCAAATGTCAACAGCTGACAGGAAATAAACTCGGTTAGTTAAACATGGTTCCTTACCAGTGAAAATACAATGAAAAGTCTTGTTTAAACTACATCATGCAGATCTCTCTTTATACTCATTCAACATCATCTGAGCGTTCATAGCTGGCTGATTGTGATGTGGGCAAAACTGAAAACATTTAATTACAAACATACAGTCCAAATCATAGGAGACAAAGTTATTGCAATGTTTGTTATTCTGATCTTTTAAATCTGGTGAGGTGATGAGATGAGGAGTTCATTACACACCTGCCAGATGTGTTGCCACGTCCATTACAGAACCACTTCTTGCTGGTGTTGCAGTACACCACACATGCTGGATCATGGATACCACAGTAGCTGAAAAATACAATCAACAATGCATGTGAATAACTGCAACATTAAATAAACATTCTGCCAAGTGAGGTGAAACTGACAACAGGCTGGAGAAGTTTAACATGTAAACTTTCAAATCATTACTATTTTTATATAAATAATTTTACCCTGCAAATTTCTTTGTGACGTCATCATTTTATGCAAAAGAAACATTGACAACTTTCCACATTTGTTTATTACTGCATATCCATGATAGCTCTCTGTTCAAACATCTGCTTAGTTAGTGATGTATGGAAAGATCTCACTGAGAACTGCAGGTAACTGTTAGTGACCACTGAATGCTGTTTGTGGTTTGCAACCACAGGAGCCACAGAGAAAATAAGTAATATTATAACATTACTATGCATCCGAGACCATTTCCTCAGTAATCTTAACTCAGTGTAGTGGGTGCAACTAGGTAGTAATTCAACAGTCCTGCAAATAAATCCACCCTGACGATTATAATGTCCAGTTTGTTTGAAAACTGTTTTGAGTGGTGTTGATTCAACTTTACTGACTTGGAGGTTATATGGTGTGTGTGTGGTGCTGTAGACTTATGTGGCGTTATAAAAGTACACGAGCTTCTACAATTTTGTCGACTACATTTCTCTGAATGACATGAAGTTCTATGTTCATGAGGGACTAGGTTCCTAAACTCATGACTAACAACCCTCTGCACATCTGTTTTCCTGCCCGTTTGCACTTTATTTGGAAAAATGTGAAACACCTGATGAACACACGGTGCAACAACTATACACACAAGTGGATTAACTATTGACACACTGCGCTCAGTTACAGTCGTTACTTTATTTGCAACTTTGGGTGTATATAGTCTAAGTTTTGTATTTGACTTTTTTAAATTTAAGTAAGCTCTTTCCACTTTTCTTAATTCTATCTATTACACTGCTGAGCTGGCCGGTTTGTTCTTGTCCAACATCTTTCATTGTACTTTTGACCCTCTGTTATTTTGCATATGACAAATAAAACTTGAAATTGAGGTTAGGCTACATAACAGCAACACATCTGTATAATGCCATACAGTTCAAATGCAGCACAAACTACAACGCTGATGATCGTCCAGTCGAATCACCAGCTGTCTACAGCTGTTTCAACACAAACTGAACATTAAATGGTGTCTTCAGGAGTGAACAGGACACTGACGTCCCGGCATGGTGCGGCTCCTTTACCTGCATGCGTGCACGGGCAAGTCTTTGGTGTAGTACGTGTCCTCCTCATCCTCCTCGAAGTTGAGCTCGGTCAGCAGCTGACTGGCTTTGGCCACGGAGTCCTCCACTCCACCGTTGAGAAGAGCCTCATCAGGACCATTGACCTGCAGCACAGCACAAGCTTTACCAAAAACTCACGCAATGCTAACGATTAGCAGCTAGCCGCTAGGAAGCGCGGAAAAGCCAGTTGAGTTAAATGTGAGTTGACGTGTTGTCAGTTCTCTCGACGCTTGGATTTTGTTATCGATGATAAGAACCGCGACTCCGAGCGGTTTAAAACAAACACACAAAACACCGGGTGTTACTTTACGAGTTTAGTTAACGAGGGTTTCTAGCTAGCGGCAAGCTAACAGTTAGCCGTTAGCTGCTAACATCCAATAATAGCGGGGTGGCGGATATGCTAACCGCCGCTAGCGTCAGTAAACCGCCGTTTTGTCGCGTCTTCCCGTGAAAGTAAAAGCCTCGCACCTGGCTGTCCAGCTGGCTCTGGGTCTGGCCTTGGGTCTGGGTCTGGCTGGGTAGCGTGAAGTCGGTGAAATCGTACTCGGAGCCCTGGGTGTCCGCTCCGAGCAACTCCGCTTCCTCGGTGTCCAAGAAGGTGAGGGTCTGGGAGCTCGGCCCGTACGCCTCCACGCTCATCTCGACTCTACACTTTCGCTTCACTCAACGACTTCCGGTAGTTCGCCCGTGGATGAACTTAGTCCCCGCGGTGTTGTGTTCGTTACCGACGCCCGGGAGACCGAGGCCTGAGCCGAGGGTCTGAGTTTGAACCCGGACAACGAGCGGAACCGATGAGAAGCTCGACTGATCCAGCGGCTCCAACACAGACCGTCCCGACGTGTGACGTAACTGTGGGCCAGAGGCAGGTCACCATGGAGAGGAGCTCTCACTCTGAGGTTTTTTCACGAGATCAAAACAGAGTCATGAAGCACTGCGGATTAAATGAAGTTAAGATAAGTTAAGATAAGATAAGATAAGATGATCTTTTATCTGTTCCACAACGAGAACATTTGCAGTGTTTTAACAGCAGCAAAGAGTGCAGTCAAAAAAATGACAGTAACAGACAGTAAACATGCGATACTTATAAATGCAAGGAATATAAACAGTATGCATGGCACAGAAATAATACATATACCATGTAAAACAGTAGATGTTCAGCGTGAGTAACCAAATGGCACAGAGGCAGCAATTAAAAATGCAGATTTAAAAAGTGAACTTGTTAAATGTGTTGTTGATTCTGCCCATTATAAAGGGACAACAATATAATAACAATGACAAAATTAATAAGAACAACACACTGTGTCTATACCATGCTTTTAAAGGCTCTCACAGAAGTTTAAAAGATTCACTAAATATTTAGCAATTGGGAAATATATACGTCCAAACAGGCAAAGCAAAACAAACATCACAATGATGACAAGAAAATAACATTTGTGAGGAAACTGTAATATAACGATGACTGGCCAGCACCAGGGGGTTTAAAGGTCTGAGAATGTGTGACTCGGCCAAGGTTTAGAAAAAAGGGCCTCCTCCCTCCTTAGTTTACTTTTCTAGTTTGACTCAATTCATGTGATTATGATTGTGTTGTTTGAATCCACATTGCTGATTCACTTCTGAATAAACCAAATACAAAAATGTATGTTATTTATTTTTGGAAAAAAACGTAAAATACCCATAACTACTATATGTCTGAATTTTCTATTTAACATCATCAGTAATCACACACACAGGCTGTTCTAGGAGATCTTCTTTTCATAATTAAGGTCATTTCTTCACCTTCATTCACTGAGCCTCCCCTGACACTGTTGGGAGGCTCCCTGGGGAGGCCACACACAGTGCATAGCTACATTATATAAGTGTGGCGATCTTCTATGATAATGTTTTTGTTATTAAAATATAAATCCAGTTCACACCACAGACTGGATGGACCTGGACTCTGGGTCTGAAAAGTAAAGCCAACGTGGAATGTCTTTGAGTCTGCATTGTATCTAAGAACCAGCAGGGGGCGACTCCACTGGTTTCCTGACAAGTTCATGGTCTCTAGTTTCAAGTTTTCTCCAAAATAACCTGTAGTTCATTTTGCAGAGTTAGATCATGGTCCCATTCAGAATAAAATAGCTGTGGTGTGGCTACTCTTTGATTGACAGCTGCAGGGTAATGTGCCTAAAACTTTTGCACAGAGTTTGCAACTGAGTCAAATGTATGATCTTTGATTGGCAGCTTTAATACAACTGTGTGTTTGTACATTTGACAAGACATTGAACCGTATCTCATAAAAACCCCTGGTGGAAAAATACAAAGTTGAAGTATTGGACACAAAGATTATTTATGATCCTTTAATTCTTTATCTCAAAGCTTTTTCTTTTACAAAGCCAGGATTACGTATTGTAACAGTGCTATGTTAATGTCAGAGGCAGAGGATACTCCCTCAACACAGGAACTCACAATAATTCACAGAACCGTTATGTTATTGTACAACAGAGCACGCACAGAGATAAAAAGTATTCTTGAGGTAGTGACACATCTGACTGGACAGAATCAGTAATATATCTTTGACTGACCCACTGAGCATTGTTAAGGCCTCATAACTTACATAAACAACAGCAAGGCACAGGAAAGAGTCAGGGTCAGAGGTCACCTCGTATGTAAACTTGAGGCTTTCACATTTGAGAGCAGACATTTTCAGGGGGAGCTCCTCCACAACTCTTTCACATCTCAGCACTTGTAAAGCCACACCATAAAATACTAGCACCTGCAAACTCAGTTCTAAAATTTGCATTATTTCCCGAAGAGTTTTAAACCACATCACCAAGACAGGAGGTAAATGCCAAAGGCTGAGATCAAAACTTAAAATCTGAGATGAAGTTCAATCCTGTTCAGTTCAATGTTACAGGATGTTAGTTTCTCAAAACTAGGTATGGCAGTTTATTTATATATATATATATATATATATATAAACTACATCTTTGTTTCTCACAGGGAGATAGTTTTGGTGATACACAGGGTGGTGCAGCAGCATATAAACCGTTCAATGCTACATTTTCTACTGAAACATATATAAATGAAGCTGTGTTTGGTGGTGTGGGACATCTTCAGTGACCAGTAGGTCGTCAGGAAAATGCTTGTGAACACAGTGAAACAGACAAATATTAAAAACAGAAAATTGACACCTGGAGTGGCACCATCATTGAAAGAATATGTTGCAGGTTAAACAAACCAAAGCTCAGAAAAATAAAGCATAAGTCACCTATAAAGCATACCACACATGCATAATGATAATTCATGGGAGGAGAGGTTAAACATGGGATGGATGTGTAAATATCTGGAAAGCAACATATTTTGTATTAAAGTGACTGAAAATAAAATAAAAACATACAAATTGCTTTGAAAAATGTTAGAGTTCCAGAATAACTAAGAGTGGATAAAGAAAGTGCTACAGAAATAAATGTCCAGGCCCAATTCTGAAGTGAGAGTCAAACTCCACATCAAATCAAATCTTCAGCTACATGTGATTCAATGCAGGGAACAACAGAAAGCTTTAACTAGCTTATCCCCATGTGGGCTGCACAATTATTGAAAAAAAATGTAGCAAACAGTGTAAGATCTGAAATAGAACAGCTCTGATCTTAACACACAAATACCGTAATTCCATAGACAAAGATTTTACAACCCAGAAATTCAGTGTCTGTGCGAGTGTGTAATATTTGAACCCACATCTCACACAGAAGAAATATTTTGTTACATGGAATTTATAGTAATAACAATGGTTATCCCAATTATTCTCAAATAATTGTGCAGCCCTAACAAAATTTTAACAAAACCACAACATGAATCACCTAAACTGACAGATCTGAGATCTGTAAAATAACATTGCACAGCCTGGAGAACCTGTTTTGTATTTTCCTGTCAGAATTGGGCCGAAAAACGGGGGAAGATGAGCTGGAACCAACCCGTTCCCTGATTAAAATAACCTTTGTAAAAGAAGGCAACTTTACAACTTCTTATAAAGAAAAAGCACTTAAGAAACAATACAACATAAAATGGGAAACAGCACAGCTTTAGAGCAGCTGGGAAAGTATCTGAAGAGAAGTGAAATTAGCTTACAGCTTAATGCTAAACATCTCTACATAATGTATCGTGTACATTTACCATTTACAGACATTCAGGTGTAAACATCTGTTGACTGAAACATATTGTGACAGAAACTCAAAACTTAAGGATGAAGAAAATCAAATCATGGAAAGTAGATCTAGCAGTTTCCCCAAATGTGACTTCTATAACCAATTAAATAACCCTAACCCTATATAAGGTGCAACAATAGTAGTCACTTTTGGGGGAAAGGTTTCAATATTTGCCACATTAACAGTCTGGAACTATTTAAACTGCATTTAAACAAATAGGAGCAGCACTTTGCTGCTGTGTCTTCTTCATGGACCTATGGTTTTCCAATGTTTTAAACTCCAAAGTCAAAATGTTTCATATTCCTTGGAAGTGGGAGAAACGGTAATGTTTCAGTGTGACTAAGGGTTGTCTTCAAACTTCCATTTTGTCTTCTCACCATCGGGAGACATTTAAACATAACAAATAATCAGGCTTAGCAAAAATAATTAGTAAAAACCTTAAACAAAGAGAAGCAAACACTGAAAACGTTCTATATGCGGATGTTTTCATTTTGTACAAATAAAGACAAAAATTTTAAAAAGAGGATGTTTGGCTACTTGTGGTTAAGTGCAATTTCTCTTGTGTGGTGAGTGCTGGAGAGAGGATGGTTGGCATCCGGAGGTCACTTAGTGGAAGTGCTTCTGGCAGTGTATCTTCTCCTCAGCCTGGTCAAGAAGCTCCAGAATTTCCTGGACGATGGCCTTCAGCGCACGACCCAGGTCTTCACCGCTGTAAGGCTTTCCAAGAGGAGGCACGTGGATGAAAGCAGAGCGGCCGTGACTCAGGTACAAAGACGTGTAGTAGGTGAAGTCACAGAGATATCTGACGGGGAACAAAACAGAGCGATAAGGGAATGAAAGGCCCGTCTCTGTCACCAGTTGTGACAGACATATCGTGCTGGTATATAAAATCACTATAGTCTCGACATATCGACCATAGATAAACCTTAAACTGCAGTATACAATAAGCCCTGAACTGCCAGGTCAGACACGTCACTGTTCATATTACAATAAACTGACCATCTCTCACTGCATGGCAGATTCTAGCATATCATAGATGATTCAGTGTCACTGTATAAGTCAGCCAATAGGATGCAAGACATTTCAGTACAGACATGAGAGGGATACACTCAGTATCCAGATTATTGGGTACACCTAGCTAAACAAAATGAAGTCTCATGCATCAGCACTTTAAAGTCTTATGATCAGTTTGGAGATTGTAGTTTGTGGTGCTGTTGAACTTTGCTAAATGATGATAAATCAATATAGTTCTATAAAATCAGTTCTTAATTCTGTAAAAAGTGCTGCCATTAGTTTCTCTAACCAGAGTGCACCATTTATTTGACTGCAGAACATCCCACTCTTATAATTTTAAAGGTTATGTATTAAAGATTATAAACATTGAGTGATGCTGAACACATGAATCAGCCTCTTTCCCTCAACAGTTGGCGTGTGTGGTCCAAAGGTGACAGGCAAAACAAACGGCTGATTCTAACTGGAGAAATGAAAGTACCTCCCAGCGTCTTTGGAGACAGACACAACTACTCCGAGACCCGAGGCGGACACTCTCTTACAGACTGATTCCATGTCAATAACTGAGTCGATGCAGTCTGGGCCTCCCACAATGCAACACTGTGAGTCAGGACAGAAGCTGCTGTTGTCCAGGCCCTTGTATCCACGGTTTCTGCCGCACTTCTCCAGTGTGACAGTGGTGGCCATTCCTGAGACTCCGACATGAACAACCAACTGGCAAAGAATACAATAAAATCACAAAGTCAGAGTTACTAAAATAATGTCCCATAACACAAATTATTTACAGTATATTTGCAGTTGGCTGCTGTGTCTGATCTCTGTTTCCACTCATGACATGTTGCTCAGTTACACCCAGGTACATTTGTTCAAAATGTCAACACCCATGTAGATAATGCCCCACTCAAGCCACTTATTAGTTGCTTAATTTGATAATTGTATATAATTTAATTTAGTTCAGCATGTGTCCTTTGCATTTCTTATTATCAGATTGTTCTCTGTGCCTGTCAGATCCAATTATCACAAAGAACAATGTGAACAGGTCACACCATGTTCTCCTCTTACCAGTGGATGATACTGCTTCCATAATGAAGGAACCAAACTCTGGACTGTCTGGTACTCTACAGGAACCTCGTACACATGCAGGTCCACTTCGCTGCCCAGTCCTAGCTTCTTCAGTTCCTGACAGAGTGAAGTAAAAAATAATACAACTGAAACATTTCTGGATTTTGACAAAATGTTCAAATTTACTTTGGGTTAGTGTTGTTCTCAAAGCTTTCAACCACAACCACATCTTTCTCAGCTTAGTTCTCAGGTATCATTGGAGAGTGCAGTCCTCTGTGACCTGGAGAACTTCTTGCTATGAGATGTAGTTGAAAGCTTCTGAAATGAAGTCTTTCGACTTTATTTCCTTCTCCATGCACCTTGAAAGTGTAGGTGAAGCCTCTATTCAGCTAATTGCCCCACCTGTTTCATCACCTGTTCTCTCATTGCCCACTGGCAGCCATACTTCCACTGAATAAAGTCCATATCTTTGCCTCTTATGGCAAAAAATATACAGTATAAATTTAAAAATTTAAAAAGATCCAAAAAAAACTAATAAGAATGCAGGTATTTCAAAAAACATAACTATTTTGAAATTATAATGGTGATTTATATGTTTCTGTGAAATTGATGGTATGTTTTTTAACTCTAAAAATAAAATATATAAAAATAAATAAACTGCAATACTCGGCTACTTTCATAATCAAGCAAGAAATAAAAGATGCAGTCACGCATATCATAAGTAAGATAAATCTGTATCTGATTCACAGCCAGTCGACCAACACCTCCCCCAATCTCCCTGCAGGACAAATCGCTCTGGACACTGACCCCCACTTGCATTGAAAAGAGGCTTTTCTGACCACGTCTGTGACCCCGCCTCAAAGTGGCCTTTTGTTTGCCTTTAATATCCTTATCGAGTCCGTCTAGACACCCTGACAACCACCATCATCCCCCAAATGCAGTTTCGCCAGCAGGACACAGGGAACCTCTGGGACACATGGTGTGAAGCCGGCAACTATCAGAGCATCGTTTAACTGTCAAACAAACAGGAACACATCTGGCTAATAACATGACAGACATGTTGAAATTTAAGATTTTTATTAAAATACCATTTTGGAGAAGGTTTGAAGGATTTGTTTTCCTCAGTATAACAAATAAAGTGAATGATAAACAAAATCAACTGCAAATTCAAAACTTAAGATATTTCCATATAGGAACTCATACAATTAAGGTCATGGTTAAATTGAATTTAACAGACAGCTATAGAGGGGTGAAACATACCTGCACTGCTACCCAGCTGGCGTTGACCGTGTGCTCTCCAAAAGGCCCAAAACCTACAAAACATGGGAGTTATTCCAGTTTCTGGGATGTTGAGCTGGTGATGATACATTTTTCCTAAACAACATTTCTAATAATGAAGCTTTGGAATCTGTTTGGTTTTTACAAAGGAGGAAATTATGATGTAGTGTCCAGTGATTTTAGAGAGATTTCTTTCTGAAATACATTTTATTTTTTATACATTTATTTCAAATGCAATTTCTGAAGGAAAAGTGCTTGTGACTACAGTGAACCATCCAACCAGCAATTCTAGCAGTTTCTGTTGTAATATGAAATGAAATCCTACCTACTCCACTATTATTACCTGAATACGATCTCTTGACTTGTTAGGGACTTTTGGTTTGACTACAAGACACAGTTAAAGCTTTGCTGAATTTAGTAATTGTAATAAAAAACTGTATATCTCAAATTGTACACCAACAAAACTCCCAATATTGTAGATTTTTCGCCAAACATAAAACATCTTGTATTACATTTCTAAATTAAAGACTGGGATGCTGCTGCATAAGATTTGCTGTAAAATCAATCACTATCATTAAAAATCTCCCCCTGCTCCATATGACCGGTACAATAAAAAAAATGCAGCAGCCGATATTCAGTCAGGCTTGTTTATACATGGATCTATAACTGATCCCCCTCCACCACATTTCCGAGGGTCAGTGGGTCCCCAGGGGTTGGGTGGAGAGGTGGGGGGGGGGTCAGTCTGTCTGACAGGCAGCTGAAAAGGAGCGGAGAGAGGGGCCAGCAGCTGCCAGCCGGCCAGCTATTGTCAAGGTGTAGTTCCCAGGCGATCTACACATCTTCGATCAGCTGGGACTGCCGGCCTCCGCACCCCTTTGTGTCTGAAAACACCAAGTCTCTGTCTCTGTTAAGTCCAGTCACATTAACTGTTGGAGATAGTGGTTTTCAGGCCTGGATGATATGGCCAAACATTTTATTATAATACAAATTTTTACATCCTTCAATGTCACATGTCTATTTCTTTTTAAGACAGTTTTTAGCTCATGAGTGAAGGTTGAGAAATGAGAAACACTTGATATAGAGCAAAACACATATTGTTATTGATGAAGATTACATTGCAATAATAGTTGACATTGTGTAATAACCCTTCCCTATAGTCGTTTTTAGTAGTTACGCACTTTAGCTGGGAGAGGAGCTACATTACATTAATAACACTGAATTATATTTTCTAAACTCAAACATGACAAACAGCTCCAGTACAATGCTACTGACAAGAATAGTGTGGGTCCAGATGTGGATATTATAATTCAAAGTTAAGAAACAGGACATCGTATCTGCGCAGAAAAAGTGACCTGACAGTAAGTTATAAATATTGGAACATAATCATTAGTTGGTTATTGATGTTATTAACTTTTAACCACACTGTCCAACTCTGTAAGGACACCATGTCTGTAAAGAGACCTGGTGTTGAGAACTAATAGTGATTGACAGTAGATGAAACTAGTAATGAAAAGCAGCAAAGAAGTAAAACTAAGACGCTCTTCCTTTGATAGAAAGTTATGAAATGACTATAGCAGGACACCACTGACAGTTTTACTAATGAAGATGATATTACTTTATTTATTACACTATTCCAGGCACATATGTGTTAAAGAGACTGTTATTAAAAGTGGCTCTGGTAATGATGAGCTAATGCATTTCCTCGATGTTCTCGAATTGACCAATTTCCTCCACAAAGAAGAAGAATGGACGTTAGGAGACAACAGATAATGAATGACTTATATATACATATTGAATTTACACATATATAAGTTCACCTCTCTCACTTTGTGTTGTTTCATTAAGGCCTTGTAAAAAGACAACAGACAATAGTACTAAGGCTCGCTGGTCAGTAGCTTCTACTGACATGAGACCTGAGAAGCAGTAAGAGAGTAAACACGACGCTCTCCTCAGCAGAAAGCAGCTGGAGCACTAACGGCCTGACGCCATTAACGTTCCTGTCACTCCACAACTTTTCCCACCGCCGCCACACGACGACCGACAACAACCGACACGACAGAGAACAGACACCGACCTGTGACCACCACCGTCCGTTTACTGTTGTCCATCTCCCGGCCTGAGGCTCCGCTGCTCCTCCGGGTCACCGTCGCCTGTTTGTTTCCAACCACGGACCGAGAAGAGACTCGATAACAAACACTGCCACACACACACTCACTCACTGACACTCACACACTCACAGGACAACTGACGCTTCTTCTGCCATCAACTGCCGGTGTTTACGCTGCGTGCGACGTGGCGTGATGACGTCAGCAGTGTGACGCATAATGACGCTGTAGAAGTTTTCTTATAGACAGACAGACAGAGAGACAGACAGATAGACAGAGAGACAGAGAGACAGATAGATAGATAGATAGATAGACAGACAGACAGATAGATAGATAGATAGATAGACAGACAGACAGATAGATAGATAGATAGATAGACAGACAGACAGATAGATAGATAGATAGATAGATAGATAGATAGACAGACAGACAATCAGACAGACAGACAGACAGACAGACAGACAGACAGATAGATAGATAGACAGACAGACAGATAGATAGATAGATAGACAGACAGACAGATAGATAGATAGATAGATAGATAGACAGACAGACAGACAGATAGATAGATAGATAGATAGATAGACAGACAGATAGATAGATAGATAGATAGATAGACAGACAGACAGATAGATAGATAGATAGATAGACAGACAGACAGACAGATAGATAGATAGATAGATAGATAGACAGACAGACAATCAGACAGACAGACAGACAGACAGACAGACAGATAGATAGATAGACAGACAGACAGATAGATAGATAGATAGATAGATAGA